CCTCTCTCTCTCTCTCTGGCAGCCCCATCACGCTCTGTGCTCTCTCTCTCTTTCTCTCTCTCTCCCCCCCTCCCTGGCAGCCCCATCTCTCTTTATAAATCCACGCAAACATTTTACGCAAGTGCTTCAAGCATTCATGCTGATTTGCAGCCTGCTCGCCCCCTGCCCTTTGTAATTTTATGCTCATTGTAAACTTTCCACGCTGGGCATATATTACTTTTATAATCTGGAACATTAAAAAAGCCAAAGACCACAAGAAATAAAGCAAAACCCACAAACACAGGATGAGGGCGCCCTGGCCAACTAGCAAGGCAGCAAAGAAAGGCTTTGGGGTTTGGCCGACCACAGACTCGGGCGGCGGCGTGAGCTGACGGCATGGAGTGGGCTCTGATTACAATCTGGTCCATGCTTTTGGGTGATTCCTCAGTTCCTGGTCTGAGAAAAGAAACGGGCCGTGCAAGCAGGCTCCTCTGGGCTCAACCTGAGGTGGCACCATAGCTGCTGTGAGCCCCACCTTGCGGGTCTTAGCACACCCACTCACTGCAGAACCGGTGTGACGATAAGCTCGCATGTGTCCTGAGCATTCGCTTTGTGCCAGGCAGGGGTCTCGGGGCATTTTATATGTTCATGCATTTAATCTTCCCACTAACCTAGGACATGGATACCCTGACAGTGTCATTTTTATGGGCCAAGCAACTGAAGTCCAGAGGGATGCAGTAACTTACCTGAGGTCACACAGCTCCACGAGCATCATAAACAATACCAGGAGGAACAAACTCTGTCACCAGGTAACCAAGAGCTAAAAGACAAAAACGCAACCTCACGTTCATTCATTCATTCTTCATTCAACAAACACAAGCTTTGCAAACACTCATTTATTCAATCATCTAGTCAATTCCTATCAGGCACCAGCTGTGTGCCAGGCCTGGTGGCAGGCACGGGGGCAACAGAACAAGGGAAAGTCCCTGGTGCAAGGGAGAGACAGAAGCTCTGAGACAACGATGGGTCCTGGACCACACTGAGTGGGGAGGGCAGTTCTATGAAGATCAGAGCAGGGGGTGGGCTGAACAGAGGGCTGGAAAGGACCGAGAGGTGCAAGGTAGGACATCAAGAAAGGCCACCAGGGAAGGTCTTTGGGATGACAGAGTGTGACAGAGTTTGGGGAAAGTGACTTGAACACACAGAGAGAGGGGGAGTTGTAGGTGCAGGTGGAGTTTGTGATCCCGGCATGGAAAATGACAGGCATTGTGGCCCTGAGGCCGGAGGGAGCCTGGCACAAGCTTGCAAAACACAGGAACAAGAAAGAGGATACTGGGTCTGGGAAAGAGCAAGTGGGAGAACGGCGATCAGCCTGGAGCAGGCAGAAGAGAGACAGGATCGCCAGGGACAGCTATGACATCGCCCAAGAAGCACTCACTTGAGACCATAGGGCATAAGATCAGATGTCCACATTTGAAAAACCACTGCGCTGAGGGACAGCACCATCAAGGGATGGAACAGGCCACCTGGGCCCAGGGACCAAGCCGCTGGAGCAGAGTGGATGGTAAGGGGTGCCGGAAGTCAGTATCTGTGACCAAGGCACTGCCTGCCAGATCTGCTGGTGGATAGATGCAGGTAGGAAGTGAAGGGGAAAGACGGGACAACACCATGGTTGGAAATGGATGACCTGGGTGTTATGGGCCTACAGGACTAGATAGGAGGGGCGGCAGACTCAAGAGTGCCATCTGCCTGGAAAGATGACGGGACACCTCTAAGAGGAACCATGAAATCTCAGGCAGAAAGCAGAGTGGGGCAGGGACGGACTAGGGTCAGCAGTGTGCAGGAGACGTTCCCTGCAAACTCAGAATAAAGGAGGTCACCTAGGGAGGGTGTGGCAGGTGCTGGAGCACAGGCAGAGCCCGGGAAAGGCGGCAGATAGAGCCTATAAGATGGTTAATAATGACTGTCACCTAGGAGTCGAAACTGGGCGTGTCTGTGAGGGAGTTTCTAGATTGAGCTAGTTGAGGTCGGAAGATGTGCTCTGAATGTAAGAAGCACCATCCCATGGTCCTGGGCCAAATAAAGAGGAGAGAGTGAGCTGAGTATGAGCATTCATTACTTTGTCTACCGGCCATGGACACTATGTAAGCAGCTAACTGCCTTACACTCATACCGCCATGACTGCCCACCGTGATGGACTGCGCACCCTCTAACTGAGAGTCGGAATAAACCCTCCCTTCCTTCTATTGCTTTTGTCAGAGCAATAAAACTCACAGTTAATACAGCCTGGGAGGTTGACATGTCCCAGGAATGTAGATATGTCCCAGGTATGTCAGCTTTATCCTTTTGAAAGGGAGGCAGACAACCATGGCCAGGGAGGGAGGCAAACAAGAACCTACGATGTCCTGGAACAAGACCTTTAGACAGGAAAGAGTCTGGTTTCAAAGCCGCCAAGAAGGAAGGGAAGAGGTGGGGAAGACCCATCCCCTTGGATTGTGGAAGCCACTTCCTAGAGGCATGTCCACTATCTCCAGGTCCCAAGCTTCCAGTTCAGTTTCATGAGGGACCCACTTCCCTCTGTGCACAGTCCCAAGAAGCCACTGGCCAGTTGCTAGGTACTCCCTGGTCTAGTCTACCAGACATAGGCTGTCCTGGCCAGACAGGGTGACCATGCATGGGGAGCTTTCTGGGACTCTGTCGCAATATCTCATCTCCCCCATACTCAATGTGATGGCTCCAGCCAGGAGCTCAGCCTGCCCTGTCTGAGATCACTGAGAGGACCACATATTCAGAGGAGCCATTGGTCTCCAGCAGTGTCACTTGTCACCAAGCGTGATCAGAAGCAGATCTGAGACCGTCTCTAGCTGCCTTTTCTTCCCCATCCTCCGTCTCCTGTCCCGCAGGACCCTCTGGCCTAGCCATCCCTCTTGCTCACGGATCTCTGGTCTTATCATTCCTGGTTGACCTCCTTCCTTTCTTTCTAGCTGTGCTGTCTCCCACTGTCTGCTGAGAAGCAATGGGAAGACTCACAAAGCTATAGTGAGAGACGGTGATGGTGACAGTGATGACCATAACGACAACCACAGTGGTGTTGACAGAGTCTGCGAGGGTGCTGATGATGGTAATGACCATGACTCTGTAGATGAATGCGGTCCCCTTGCCTCCTTCACCCTGACTGATCAGATGCAACTAGACGCTCTGGCCTTGACCTCAGCGGAGGGACAGCCACAGTGTTGCTTCTTAAGCACTCACTGAATGCATGGTCTGGGCCAGGCTCCTTCTACTCTGACTCCAGCGGTAGGAGACAGATGCTCTTTGTACACATACTTTACAGTTTGCAAAGGTTGAGTTACTAAGAGGAATGAATTGTGGGCCGGGGTTTAGAAACGGAGTGGAAGAGACTCAGGCTCCGGGAATGATGGGTAACAGCAGCGTCACCCCTGTCACCAGAAATGGGGAGCTGAGATTGCACCTTGTCTTAGGTGTGGGCAGGATGGGGCACACCCCTTTGAACTGTGCCTATGAGGAGCATTTGTGGGTCCCAGGCCTGTGGCACCTGATTTAGCAGCTAGAGAACGAAGAGGGAAGGAGGCGTGAGAGGTACCGTGTCTGCGTGTCCCCTGGGGGATGTGGCAGCCTTTGCATTTTTGTGGCATGAAGCGGAAATTTGAGATAATAAAGAAATGGGGGAAAGAGAGACAGAAATAAGAAAGAAAAAGCAAGGAAACAATAAACTGTTAGCATCTCACAGGCGCCAGGCTGGGCGAGGAAACCGCTAATGAGCCCCAGCTTCTAATTCAAACCAGACAGATAAAAGCCACGTGGTCCTGGTCCCAGTGAGCATGGAGTGCATCCCCACCCCACCCCCAAAGCCCAGGCTGAGGTGTTCTGCCCAGAGAAGAGCAACCTCAGCTGCTGTCTGCCTAGCCCTCCAGCAAGCCTGCTCTGCTCTAGAGATCTATAAAGACATGAACTTCAGCTCGCTTTCTCTAAATGCATATTAATTTGTTTAATCAACTTCCTTGTCTTTTGACTATTGGACCAGAAGTTCACCCTTCCAAGTACTCTGACTTCCTTGTAAAAATTTCAGAAGCAGGAGCCTAGGCAAACTACAGTTGGGAGTCCAGGGTTGGAACCCAGTGTCATCTGCACCCAACAGACAGAGAATTAACCTCTGTGTGCCTGGCTTAGTTTTCTCAATGCTCCCCAACTCATCCCTAGCAATGGTCTGCCTATTAGACTCACAACCAACACACAGCAGCTCGCTCTCCTCTCTCTCTCTCTCTCTCTCTCTCTCTCTCTCTCTCTCTGTGTGTGTGTGTGTGTGTGTGTGTTTGTCTCTCTCTGCCTCTGTATCACCCCTACCTGTGCACCCAATCATGAGTATCAAGGTCAACTCCACGTCTTGGTTGTGGGCATCACACCGCCAAGAGCATGGGGAGCAGCAGGATTTCCTCCACATTGAGATCTCATGTTTCTGAATAAATACCCATTTTCATATTCTGAAGCACCTCAATGTTGCTTACCACCTAGGTGCTCACCTGCATTCCCAGATGTTCCTCCTCCACGTCCTTGCTACAGTGGACTCTAACAACCCTGTTCCTGCAGGTACATCCAAAGGAGAGGAAGTCAGGCGTGACCCTCCCGTGTTCCCCGTACCTCTAGCCACAGTAACCCAGATCCAGACTCAACCTAGGGAATGACTGGATAGAGAAAATGGAGTATCGTTATAACCATTGTGCTGGTTAACACTGATATCAACTGGACGGGATCCCCTGGAATTCAGGACTGAATCAAAAGGATAGAATGGACTGAGCATCTGTCCCTCTGATTGTGGATGCGACGTGATCTGCTGCCTGGTGAACTGTGCCATCAAGTCGTGAGCCAGAGCAAACTCTTCCTTCTCATGCCGATTTTGCCACAGCAATAGGAAAAGGAGCAAATACACGCCCAACGGAATGTTATTCAGCCATAAAAAAGAATGAGATTCCCGCCATACGAGGCGGCGTGGAGGAGCCTGGCAGATGCTATGAAGTGAAATAAGCCAGGCACGGAAGAATAAAGACCAGCGCTGGCTCATTCCCGTGTGAAAGCTGAAGTTGCTCTCACGGAATCAGGGAGTGGAGTGTGGTCAGCAGGCCAGGAAGGGGGCGGGGCGAGGAGAATCAGGGAGACGGGCTGGTGAACAGGTTCAGAAATAGCTGGGAGGATTGCTTTCTAGCTAGCTATAGCACAGCTGGGCGACCACTGCCCACCACCCACGGGAGTTCACACTAGCTAGAAGACTTTGAAAACTCCCGACACAAGGGATAGAGGGTAGCAACAATGGGCATACCCGTTTCCTGGTGCGCCCACAGGTGTACCAACTAATCCTGACAGCCTACGTGAATATGCACAGGTAGAAGTGTCAATCAAAAAAACATATAAGGACCCGAAGAAAAAATATGTAAATTCGCGTTTAAAACACAAAGTGTGATGGAAGGGACAGAGGAAAGCACTGGTCTCAGAGCCGACTTCTTGCTCTGTGAGAGGTCACAGCCTCCTTCTGAGTGTCTAAGGAGGGTGGACACTGGTGCCTGCCTGCCTACCAGCCTGAAGGCTTAAAAGTCTGTGACTTTCCTGTCTTCTTATCGGGGACATCCTGCCGTCACCTCTCCGGGTCTCTGTGGGATGAAATCATGACCGTCTCTCCAGCACGGGAGGCACTGTTTCTTGCATTTCTGGTCTGCATAATCGACGCATTGCATTGTAAGTAAGAGACAGGAGAACTAAAGGGAAAAGAGACCGAAAGAAGAAAACTGATGTGGAGAAAAGAGCCAGCTTGGGGAATGGGGAGGAGGGGAGGACAATGGTGTGTCAAAAAGCAAAAGATTCTGGAAGAAGGAGGAGGGGAAGATGTAGGGTTTAGGGTGGGACAGGAGAATGCGCAGCTAGGAGGGGAGGAGCCAAGGCTGACTACTCTCTTCTTCTACCACACGGATTCCAGGGACCAAACTCAGGTCATTGGGCTTGGTGGCAAGCACATGTACCTCCTGAGCCATCTCCTGTCCCCTTCCCCAGGCTCACTCTGGACCACGAAGGAAGAATCTGAGAGTCAGAAGGAGCCCAGCCACAGGCCTGGGCTCATGACTCGTGACTATGGCGGGGGGGTGGGGGGGGTGTGCACTCTCTCAGAAGTCATCCACCCATCCCCCTCCCACAGCCCATCCAGAGTGCCGGCATTCATTCCCCCTTCCCTCCATACTGACCTGTGTTTGAATGCCAATGGTTCTAGAAGGTCACCAGTGGCTGGCAGCTCCAGGACCAAGTTGTCCAGGGAACAGTGAAAGTTCACAGACCCAAGGGCAATCAGGCCTTGGGTCATCAAGTGACAAAGCGGACACGAACAGGGAGGCATAGGATAAACAAGGGGGGAAAGTTTGCTCCCTATAACAGGTGGTATTTGAGGATGTCTGGGTCCGAGCAGAGGTATAGAAAGTATCCATCCAGGCCATGAAGGCTCCTTAAACCCTGGAGCAAAGGAAAACCATGGTATGGTCCACTCCACCAAACCCCTCTGTGCACGGGACCTGAGCAGGCCACTGACTGGTTGGTCTTGGGGATCGCACAGAGGTAGCTTGAGGTTGATTGGTTGGGATCAGGTCAGAGGCACTGCAGGCTGGTCAGGAAGATCTACGTGAGGGCAGGTCACTCAGTAAGGATCGTATCTAGCCTACTTGACAGGTGCCTTGTCCTCTCTTTTCTCTGGGGAAGAACGAATGCAGTAACATATGGGATATTATTTATTATTTTCAATGTGTTCTTTCTGAGATGGGAGCCTCACATAATCTAAGCTGATGACTTTGAATTCTGGATCCTTCTTGCTCCATCTCCCCAAAGCCGAGATTGCAGGCATGTACCACCACGCCTGGCTTTTAATGTGGTTTTTTTTTTTTTCCTAACCACATAACCTATCCTGCTATATTGCACACTCCTATGGTCTTTGTTTCAAGATCACACAATCACCATCATTATCTAATTCCAGAATATTTCATCACCCTGAAAATTTTATTCCTCCCTTATCTCAGCCTCTAGTGACTACTAACATCCTTTTTGTCTCTATGGTTTTATATATCCTGGGCATTTCAGATGACTGGAGTTGTGTGGTGTATGATGTTTTGTATCTAAGTCTTTTCACTTAGCAATGTTTCATGAGGTAACATGTGTGAGTACTCCATCCCTTTCATGGCTGTGTGATATCCGTGTGCTTATGTTGCAGTTTTCTCACTCCTTCATGTAGGATGATCTTGAGTGCACTTAAGCTTCAGACCCAATACTCAAGTGTTCTCTAGGGCCAGAGAGAACAGGCAAAGGAATTCCATTTAGAAAGAGGAGATGTACATAGCTTAAGGAGCTCATGGCCAATCCTACCCCTCCTGAATTCTGAACATTGAGAATGATTGCTACCTATAGTCCAAGTACTCTACCATGTTCAACCCAAACCACAGTTACCATGGCCCCAGCAGAACTCATGGGAGTGGGTCAGTAGGCATGGTGTGAGTGGTCAACCAACAGTTGGGTAGAACGAATAGATGGAGGGAGGGAGGGAGGGAGGGAGGGAGGGTTGCAAGTGTGAGTGAGCAGATCAAAGGAATGAAGAGCAGAGAAGGCGGATGGATAGAAAGGGATGGGTGGCCTAAGGGTTGGTAGCTAAGTGACAGTGGCTGTGTGGATGACTAAATGCCTGACTGGGATGATGAATGGGTAGCTGAATGGATGGGTAAAAACATGGATGAGTGGGCGGACAGATGGATTGGTGATGCATGTGTGATTGGAAAATTAGGAAGGTAAATGGGTAAATTATTGGGAAGGTAGATTATTAATATTACAGATATGTGGATGGATGGATGGATGGATGGATGGATGGATGGATGGTGGAAGACTGGGAAGATGGATGGACAGATTATTGGGAAGATGTATGGATAGATGGATAAATGAATGATTAAATGGTGGATGGATGGATGGATGGATGGATGGATGGATGGATGGATGTGGAGATGAGTGGGAAATGAATGGATGGATGAATGGGTGGGTGGATAAAATGGGTGGATGAATGGGTGGGTAAGCAAACATATGGATGGTTGAACTGATGAGTCAATTAGAGGATGGGGTTTGTGCTACATCCTTGCCAAGCTCCACTGGACCTATGGGAGAGATGAACTGATGGACAGAGAATCCCAGCACAAGGCACAGAGCCAAGGGGTCCGTTACTCAGGTGGTGACTCTTAAATAGTGGGAGGAAGTAATCTTTAATCCTTGGATTTCAGACTGAAAGGGCCCCACTGCACTCAGCTCTGGAGTTTAGTCCAGTGCTTAGCAGCTTAATCTCGCTGTTGACTGAAGGAATGGCTTCAAGGAGTGAGGAGTTTGTTTCCCATCCAGTGTGTGAACTAAGAACATGACACTCATTTTGTAAATGAGGGAAGTTGCCCAGCATGCCTATGGGCAGAGTGTGGAATCTCTGGAGCCTGGAAGCCCCACACTCTTCCCCACCCCTAGAAGACTTCCTGATTCTGTCAATCGGATGTGGAATTTCCAGCCCTTGAATTTCATGTTCTCTTCTCTAGGACAAGGAGGTGCCTGAACCTACCACATGTCTATTTGAGGGTGGAGTGTGTGTGTGTGTATGTGTGTGTGTGTGTGTGTGTGAGAGAGAGAGAGAGACAGAGAGAGAGAGACAGAGACAGAGACAGAGACACAAAGAGAGACAGACAGACAGGCAGAGACAGAGACAGGGGAGAGAGACAAAGAGACTATTGTGGGCCAATTTATAAATAAAGCTTTATTGGCACATGGCCAGGTTTAGTCATGAATGTCAATGGTGGCTGTTTTTAGGCTATAGTGCCAGAACAGAAGAGTTGCCTCAGAGGCTGAAGGCCTGCAAAACCCCAGACTTACTGTCGAGCTCCTCATGGAAAAATAGGGCTGATTTCCACTATGGAGAACTTTCCCCCAGGTCCTGATGGACGCCTCCTTCTGCTCTTTAGAAACCACTCCCAAGCCTACACAAAGATCTGATTATTATAGATCTGAGTGAGGCCTGAGCATCATCTTGCATGTTTATGACTTGTGTGTGTGTGTGTTCGTGTGCATGCATGTATGGGATGCACATATACATGTATGCGAGCATATGAGGTCAGAGGTTAACGTTGAGCGCCTTCCGCGATCACACAGCACCATATTATTTGATGCAGTGTTTCTCACTGAGCCCAGAGCTCACTGATTCAGTTAGCCCAGCTGGCCACTGAGCCACAGGGATGCTCGTGTCGCTGCCTCTCCAGAGCTGGGATTCCAGGAATGCACCACGGCTCTCAGCTTTGCATGTGGGTCTTAGGGATCTGAACTCCAGTCTCCACGCTTGTGCTGAGAAGACATTTTCTTAGCTAGCATTTCTTTTGCTGTGGTGAAACACCATGACCGAGGCAAGCTGGAAAAGAAGGGTTTATCTCACTCGTGTTTCAGTGTCATAGTCCGTCACTGAAGGAAGTGTGGGCGGGAACTCAAGGCAGGAACCCGGAAGCAGGAACTAAAGCAGAGACCATGGACAACGCTGCTTACTGGCCTGCTCTTCATGGGTTGCTTAGCTTGCTTTCTTATAGAGCCCAGGACCACCTGCCGAGGGGCAGAACCACCCACCATGGGCTGGGTCCCCCACATCAATCATCAATCAAGAAAATGTCTCCATAGAGTTGCATATGAGACATTTTCTCAGTTGAGGTTCCCTCCACTCAGATGGCGTTAGCCTGTGACAAATGATAAAAGGCTTGTCAGCACAAACACTACCAACTATAGGCCATCTCCCCAACTCCAGAATCTACATTCTATTTTGTTTTTTGAGACAGGTCTCACTTTGTAGCCCAGGCTGGCCTGGAACTCAGAGAGATCTGCCCGTCTCTGCCTTCTATGTTCTGAGATTAAAGGTGTGTGCCGCCACATCTGGCCCATGAAGATTAATGAAGAATCTTCTTTTTGAAGGTGTAAAGACTGTTCTTGATTGTCAATTTGACTACATCTGGGACTAACTAAAACCCCAAAACGGAGGGCACACCTGTGAGAGATTTCTGCTTAATTTCAAATGGGAAGATCTACGAATCCATATCTTTAAGGTAGGAAGACACACATTTAATCCAGATCTAATCTGGCTCGTGTCTTTTGCTGGAAGCCAATATAAGAATATGGAAGAAGGAAGCTTTTGCTTTTAGCCTGGTTGCCCTCACCTTTAGGCTAGCAAATCCATTCCTCCATCGGCGTTAGGGCCTACTTCTTTGGGATTCCGGGGTATAGTGAAGACCAGTTGAAACATCCAGCCTTGCTTGTGGATTGAGTAACTACTAGATTCTTGGACTTTCTAGTCACAGCAAGCTGTTGTTGGATTAGCTGGACCACAGCCTGTAAGTCATTCTAATAAATCCATATGTGTGTGTGTGTGTGTGTGTGTGTGTGTGTGTGTGTGTGTGTGAAGGGGGGGGGGGTAAATTCTGTTTCTCCAGAGAACCCTGACTAATACAGAAGGGTTCTTGGTGGTCCTGAGGCAGGATGCTCTGGTCTAGACTTTGAAACCTCCCAGACAGAGCAGGGATGGGATTCTGGCTCCACATCTGGGGCTCACATGTAGGCAGGTTGCTTAGCCGCTCTGACCTGAAGTGTCTTTATCCACGTGGGAAGAGCAATGCCTGCCAAGGGGCAGCTTAAATGAGACGATCTCTATGGGGTGTCCTCTGGGACCTGGCATAGACGGGTGCTCCCGATGGACAGTTCTGTCCTTACTACTTCTGGACATGTTCCCAGTTCTCCAAATCTCCCTAACCCCCGCCCCGCCAGCCCTCAGCTCACTTCAGCCCTGCAGGGAACCCAGCCTCCCATCTTTGATGACACCCTGGTCCCCAGGAAGGAGAAGAGTACAGCTGAGAAGCCTGGAGCCCTCAGTCACTTCGTCCTGCTTTACAAATTTACTCTCAAAATATTTGCTTTCCGAGGCCACTATTTGCCCAGGGCTGACGTCAGAGGAGGACAATCAACTCCCCACAAGTGCTTTCAAAGAGCAAGGTCAGCCTCACCCTGTCCCCTCCACAGTCCCCATTCCCTGGCTCCTCAGCCTAGTCTTCTGACCTAACCGCATGCCAGCCGGAGGGTGACTTAGCAGAACAAGTTGGCAGGAGACCAAAAGAAAGGCAGGGTTTGGTTCCAGCCTGTGGCTGACCAGCCAGCCAGCCCCGGGTCATCTGGTTTTCTTCCTGAGCCTCAGTGGCCCCTCTCTGCCCTAGACAGCATCTTCCCTAAGCTCTGAAGCCCCTCACCCTGCCAGGCACCACAGTTCCATGCCTCTGGGACACCCAGCGTCCCCAGGCTGGGGGACACCGGAAGTTCCCTGGCTCCCACTCTGTCCTTACCTCTCCACTGCTCTGCTAGTCCACAGCCATGAAGGTGGCACTGCCTTTCGCCCATCAAGGCAGAAGGTCAAGCTGACCACCTTAACACATAGTCTGTTACCCTGAATCCCTGGGGGAGCACTTCGGGGAGTCAGAACCACAGTCAAGCTTCCCCACACAGGCCAGAGCTCAGTTAAGCTGCAGATCAGCCACCTGTACCCCCTTGCCTGGCTGTGTTTCCCAGGAAGAATCCCACACAAATTCAAAGGCAGAGAGACCTGTGAGGGCGAGCCAGGAAGCCCTGACCTTATGGACGTGTGTGGCTATGTCAAGGACACGGGAAAGCAGTTGGGCAGCGATCCCATGCCTCCAAAGGACTCAGTAAGGGACACCCTGAAGTTCTTGGTGGAGAAGCTGGAGACGTGTCCCCCTAGCACACAGCAGTGGAGGCCAGGGGCTTGGACCCCGAAGGCTTGGAGCTTAGACTCCAGGCAGACCACCCAGTAGCTGCAGAACCGATAGAAAGCCACAGCCACACAGAACCTCAGTTTCCCCAACTGTGTGATGGAGTTGCTGTGGCAAGGTTTCAGAGACAACCCCTCTGTCTGAGGTAGTTTTAAGGACCTGGGGAACCCTTCACAAATGTTAGCCCCCATGCCGGAAAAGGATCAGACACACTAACTACAGCTTAGGGAACCCTGAGCTCAAGCACAGCGTCTCTTACCACAGGCCCACAGGGTAGACTTCACTGTCTCTATTCTACAGAGGTACAGAGACTCCAAGAGGTAAGTATTTGCCCCAGTTCCCCTCAAGTCAGCACACTGAACTCCAGGTCTTCTTTTACTCCTGGCCAAGTCTCTGATACATCCTCTCTCTGGTTCAGCTGGTACTGGCTCCATATGGCTCCTGTGGGTTCGTCCAGCAGTGTCCAGAAGTCGTCCAGGTTCTATTTCAGAACCTCTGAATCAGACATCATCAGGCGCGAGGACCCACTGGGCAAGCTCGGCAAGAACTGTGGGTAGACAGCGCCACCCAATGGTCACTGCAGCAGCGAGCGGTGCATTGACTTCTCAGTGGTCACTGGTGCCTGACACACGTGTGTATATATACTAA